TGTCAGGTTCCTATAAGGTGTCAGGGTGTCACTGTCTATTTCTCCATGGAGGGGTGGGAGTATTTAGAAGGACACAAGGATCTCTACAAGGACGTCATGATGGACAATCAGCCGCCCCTCACATCACCGGGTAAGAGGAGACTTTATTGTAAAGGAGAGAGCAGTACGGAGGATCCACCTAGATCCCCCATCATCTGATAAACACATAGAAACAATGGATTCAGTCAGTGTGTGTGTTTCCTACAGATGGATCCAGTCATGGGAACCCACCAGAGAGATGTCCCCGTCCTCTGTATTCCCGGGATTCCACACAGGAAGGTCACACCATCCCTCACCATCATCAGGTAGATGAGGAACAATCACTGATAGTATCATTAGCATCTGTACATTATCTGCATTGTTACCATTGATGTCATTTTTATTATATATTCAGAGTGGAAACCTGAGAGATCCTAAAGTAGAGGTTAAAGAAGAGATAAAAGAGGAGGAGGATGAGGATGGGATGAAGAAGTCAAACTTTCTAAAGCAACACAAAGAACTGTACCAGGACACCATGGTGGAGTCATCCAGCTACAGGAACCCACCAGAGAGATGTCCCCGTCCTCTGTATTCCCGGGATTCCACACAGGAGGGTCACACCATCCCTCACCATCATCAGGTAGATGATGACAATTATTGGTAGTTGTGATTTATACACAGCATGTTTGTTACAATGAAATGTTTTATTATATCTTTCAGAGTGGAATCCTCGGGGATGATAATATTGATGTTAAAGAAGAGTATAAAGAGGAGGATGAGGAGTATGGAGTGATGGAGGAGTTCTCAGAAGGACACAAGGATATGATGGAGCCACCTAATACCAGGAACCCACCAGAGAGATGTCCCCGTCCTCTGTATTCCCGGGATTCCACACAGGAAGGTCACACCATCCTTCATTGTTACAAGGTTGGTGGGATGGAGCATCTAAATCACAGACTCGTAGAGATGACGTGTTAATTTTTATGTGACCTTACATTTTACAGATGATATTTTCTCTCATTTCCTTGATTTAGAGTGGAGATCCAATCGATATAGAATTTGAGGTGAAATCAGAAGAAGAAGAGGCGTATGTGAGGGATGATCAGCAGTCTATGGAGGAGGATGGAATAACGGGGACATTTATAGAGGAGGACACTCCTACAGAGATCAGCACAGGTGGGTCATGAACACTAAATCCATTCCTCCACCCATACTGCTCACTGATTGGTCCAGAGTAGGGCGGGGACTGGGTGATATCAGCCTGTAATCCCCTGGTCACTTTCCTGAGCTGTGTTCCCCATCCTGTATTCCTGGATTTCTCTCGGATAATCTTCCTTCTCTGTGCTGCAGACACAATTTATGTATCTAGACTGGATTTATGGAGGTTCTGGGGTTCAGCTGGCAGCAAAATGTTGATATATTTATATAATCCTGCCGCGCTCAGAATGTCAACCTCTAAATATTGCGGCTAACACCCTGCCACATTGGACAATATTGAAATATAGTACCTTGGTGCTGCGCTAATAATTAATCCTTTGGAATAAAATAAGCAGGGCAAGGTTTGGTTCATAAAGCAGAGAGCAGGACATGATGAAAATGTTTTGTTAAAAAGAGCAACAAAAAGGATTGGCTATTTCCCGGATGTCTCTGCGGTGGCTGCTTGTGGTGCCTTTTTCCACCAGTGAGGGGGATTGACTCTGCGTTGGACCTTGTGTCTGTGGGAAGGGGTCCAGGTAGCAGTACGGTGTGGTACTATTTGAAAAAGCGCTTTGACCCTGTGGGGTCGCTTCATAGAGGTGAGGGGGCATTTCACTCAGTGCGGGATTCCCTATGTCTAACAGTTCATATACGTATATCCACTAAGGACTACAAAACACCTCCACCATTTAGGTGGTTTTGGACTTTAGGTTTATTTTGGATGAGATTCACACTACAAATTGGATATAATTTGATATGATTTTTGTTTTTTTATGTCACAGAATCACGTATATATCACTTATTTCCAATTTTTATCCCTGCATTTGGGGTCACGTTAAGCAGTTTATTTGTCTTTTCTGTTTTTTATTTTTATAGGCTGTGTGGCTTATAAATGCTTCACTACATACAAAGATTCTGTTAGTGTCACTTAGCCGCTAATTTTCACTTTATCCCCAATTAGGGGTCACTGCTCTATGGTTCACATTTTTTTTTTTATTAGTCATTTATCTGCAGAATTTGCATTTTTGATTATGTTGTGTTATACTAGCTTTGTGGTTTTTCATGATTAACCTCCTTAGCGGTATTCCCGAGTGTAGCTCGGGGTAAAATTTCAATACCAAGATCGGTAACCCCGAGCTACACTCGGGATACCATGCGGCGTTGCTCAGGGGTTCCCTGCAGCACTTACCTTGTCCTTCGCTCCCGCGATGTGTCCCCTGCAGCGTCCCCGGCCATCTCCTCCGGCCGATGCCGGCATCCGGCTTCCGTGTTCCAGTCCCTGTGACGTCGGGACGTACGGGCGGCGGAACCGGCAGGAAATTTGAAATTTTTTAAAAATGTCATTTTTGCTGTCATTGCTGTTTCAATGCATTTCACATACATTTTGTCCCTAGTGCTTTGTCCGGCGCCCCTGCCTGCATTTTGACTGTTCTTTCTGCCTGAAAACTTAGAAAAGTCCATGGCGTCCAAAAAGCGTCCCTTTAGGTCAAAAGTGGTTTTAGACCGGCTAGAGAACAGCGATAGTAAATCAGAACCACTTGCAGAATTGAGTGATAATGATTCGTGGGGGAAATTCCTCATCAGACACTGAAAACGATTTTGCGACTTTGCTCAGCGATGTGCGAATTTGCCTCTGTATTTCAAATTTCAGTGTTTTTGGTTTGATTATATTATTGAATCAAATTTATTATTATTATTTTTTATGATTATTTATTAAATTATAATTTATGATTTCATGTTTCAAGTTTTATCATACCCGGGATGTTTACTAGACTCTTGTTCGGACAGATTTCAGTGAGTTATTCCTAAAAATTACAGCCTACAATAAAAAACGACCTATTTCCATGCAAAAAAATGTACCGCTTTCAGCACAAAAAATCGGAAAGAATCAGAACGCCGAGGAGGTTAACCACTTTTTTAAATTTTTTTTTCTTCACTTATGAGCACTATAAGTGTTTTTTTGGTTAGTTTTCTTGGCAATTACCAGTTTGGCATGGAATATACCTGCAGGTATATTTTCTGCATCACTAGTCATTTGTGCAATTTAGCACAGTAGTGGTGGGATTTTATTTTATTACTTATTTGGCACTTATTAAGGATTGTCACTTATAAATCACCGATTTAGGGTTTTCTTAGGTTACGCCTTAGATATATTTCACCATCATATATGATTTTGCACATTCATGTGTATTCTATTCTGTATATCTTTTTATATATAATTTGATATCCATTAGTAATCTATTTAATGTGCATGTAGGTAACACCCTAGATCTAGTACTTTGGGGGTTCCATGGTTATATAGTATTTTCATGTGTATTCATTCTGTGTTTATTTTTTAGATTTATGTGCTCTTTTTGTGATTTTTTTTTTTTTCCTTATTTTATTCCAAAGGATTAATTATTAGCGCAGCACCAAGTTACTATATATAGCAAAATGTTGATGTTCACTCTAGGTATTGATTGACCTTGGTCATGTGTATTGGGTCTTTTACCCCATATCCTGGGGCTAACAGGATCTCTGACAGAACAATTCTCCCAGGGGTTACTTACTCTGTGGTCTGCTGGCTGTGCCGGGTGGAGGGATATGTCTGTATAGTCTCAGCCCCAAGTCACTGAGTGCAGTCTCAGGAGATGGGAGGCAGCGGTGTGGGATCTCTGCAACTTGTCTACAGTAAACTTTTAATCTTCCACTGATTACTGAATACCAATATTATGAGTCCTGACCCTTACACTGTATAATTTATATTGTACATTACATACTCCTGACCCCTGCACTATATACCTATGTTGTACATTACATACTCCTGACCCCTGCACTATATACTCTATGTTGTACATTACATACTCCTGACCCCTGCACTATATACTCTGTTGTACATTACATACTCCTGACTTCTGCTCTCCTCCCTCCCCCACTGCTATATATACACATAATATGGATTCTCTTTTGTTACACCCATTTCCTCCCAGCTGGACATTTTATATCGGATGATGTGATTGGAGCACAGACTTTTACATGGTGATAATAATGTGATAACATCCTCCAACTTTGGACCCTTAAACAGAAAGTGATAATGAGGGAGGAGTCAATACCCCAATGATGGTGGTCTTCAGGATCAGTGCAGTCTTCATCTTGGTTGTTCTCCCCCCATCCTCACTCTCTGACCTCTGGTGGGGCTCAGCCCCGCTGTTCTTCATGACTAAATCATGGAGTAAATAAGGAAGTGCAGTACTTCTTGTGTTGGGAAGATGGCGATGAGTGATAGAGGGGGTGGGGACCCTCGTCCTATAATCCCCTCATCACTGTCCCTCCTATAAAAGACAGTTCTGGTTGTTTCCTCACTCTCTGACTAAGGTCCATAAATAAAGAAATGACCTGGTAGGAGATCAGAGGAGACATTTCCTAGTTCCCTTGAGGGTGGAATTGTAACCCCCTCAGAGACCAAGCTGCCTGATGTAGGCGGAGTCCTGCTTTGGGGGAACTGTCTAGTAATCCTCTTTGTCTTTGTATTTTAGTCCATGGCCGGGAGATGAGGAAAACCTCCGAGGATTGTCTCACTTTGTCTCCAGACCGGAAAGTAGAAGATGAGGACATCACACAGTATAGTCCAGGAGAAAACCCGGCTCCCTCCAATGTCCATCCGGCACCACCCAGTGTAGATGGACCATCGGATTCCTCGTATCCTGAGGAACCTCAGACTGTGCAGGACTGGGCCGGCCTTCCAACAGGGAAGAGCTTCTCCTGTCCTGAGTGTGGGAAGGGTTTCCATTTTAAATGCTACCTTGATGAACATAAAAGATCTCACACAGGGGAGAAGCCGTATTCCTGTCCCGAGTGCGGGAAATGTTTTTCAAAAAAGTCCAATCTTAAAAAACATCAGACGCTCCACACAGCTGAGAAGCCATATTCCTGTCCTGAGTGCGGGAAAAAATTTTCACAGAAGGCCCATCTTAGCACACATCAAAGACTGCACACAGGGGAGAAGCCATTTTCATGTTCTGATTGTAGGAAAAATTTTATTCAAAAATCAGAGCTTGTTTCACATCAGAGATCTCATACGGGGGAGAAACCATATTCTTGTCATGAGTGCGGGAAATGTTTTTCATGGAAGTCCAGTCTTTCCGTACATCAGAGGTCTCACACGGGAGAGAAGCCATATTGCTGTCCTGAATGTGGGAAATGTTTTATACAAATATCAGAACTTGTCTCACATCAGCGATCTCACACGGGGGAGAAGCCGTATTCCTGTCCTGACTGCGGGAAATGTTTTTCGCATATGTCACATCTTTATACACATCAGAGATCTCACACAGGGGAAAAGCCATATCCCTGCCCTGAGTGTGGGAAATGTTTTTCACAGAAGTCCAATCTTTCCACACATCAGAGATGTCACACGGGGGAGAAGCCACTTTCTCCTAAGTGCGGGAAATGTTTTTCACAGAAGTCCAATCTTTCAAGCCATCAGAGATCTCACACAGGGGAGAAGCCACTTTCCTGTCCTGAGTGAGGGAAATATTCCTCACTGAAGTCCTGTCTTCCTGTACAAAAGGGGTCCCACACAACCCTGGAGTTGTATTAGTGCCTTGAGTGTGGGAAATGTCTTCTAGATGAATGTTGCTGGACATCCCAGCTCTCATGTGGGGAAGAAGCACACCCTGATATACACCTCAGATATACTCCATGACTGATCTTCATCATGGAAGAAACAGTTCATAAGGAGATCAGAGGTCACCAAAGACATGGATGAAGTGTTGGACCGGGTTGGCCATTGATAGCAGGAGAAGAATAAAAATGGAGTCATGACCTTTCTTTGGCTGAGTACATTTTGTGGTGGGAGATTTCACAAACACTTGGAGGTCTATTTAAAAAAAGAATTAGTTGAACGAATGTGACCGTCATTCTCCCAGCTGTGATGAACATTGGCTGTATTTTATTTCATACTCTGATTTTCTTGGCTCCATCTAGTGGCCATAATGTCGTATTGAGATACTTTTACTGAAGGAGGTATTTCATGAATAATACCTCATTATGGTCACTAAATGGATCTGACTGTCATAGGAAATCAATGTGTTAAATTACGTCCAGAATTATTATTATTATTATACGGTATTTATATAGCGCCAAAGGGTATGCTCAGCGCTTTACAATAGCAAGGGGGACAGAACATGAGACAGAACAGTACAATACAATACACGAGGGGTTCGAGGGCCCTGCTCTTTCGAGCTTACAATCTAGGAGGGAGGGGAAGGTGGTATAGGAGGAAATGGCTGTGGGGGATGGAGTGGTAGGAGGAGTGGAGGAGGTCAGTTGTTAGATGAGGGTGGGGTAGGCTTCCCTGAAGAGGTGGGTTTTCAGGGTGCGCCTGAAGGTGAGGAGGGTAGGTGACAGTCTGATGGATTTGGGTAGGAATTCCAGAGGATGGGGGAAGTCCTGGAGAAATCCTGCAATCGGGCGTGGGAGGAGGAGACCAGGGAGTTAGAAAGTAGGAGGTCGTTTGAGGAGCGGAGGGCACGGGTAGGGTAGTATTTGTGTATCAGGTCGGTTAGGTCGTTTGGGGCGGCATTGTGAATGACTTTGTAGGTCAGAGTTGGCAGTTTGAATTTGATGTGTTGGGCAATCGGGAGCCAGTGAAGGGATTGGCAGAGGGGGAGGCAGATGTGGAGCGGTTAGTGAGGTGGATGAGTCTCGCCGCTGAGTTCAGGATAGACTGGAGAGGGGATAGCGTTCGTTTGGGTAGGCCAGTGAGAAGGGAGTTGCAGTAGTCCAGGCGTGAGATGATGAGGGAGTGTACGAGTTGTTTGGTGGTGTCGGGTGCGGAACGTACGTATCTTGGAGATGTTGCGGAGGTGGAGCCTGCATGATCTTGATAGTAATTGGACCTGAGTTTGGAAGGAAAGGTTTGAGTCCAGGGTGACACCCAGGACTTTGGCATGTGGGGTGGGAGTGATGGTGGCGAATCTCTATAAGGGCTCGATGAATTTTTGTCACATTCGTCCAATGAATTTTCTATCAGGAGACCCCTTTACTCTCCTTCTTCAGGCATGGATTCATACTAATACACTTCTGACTACAGTAGACATTGAAGGATAGAAGGTGATCTGTATGTAAGCCTTCACCTTGGAAAATAACCAGTTCAGGTAAACATAAAAAAGAAAGGAAAAGCGTTTGTGTATAGATATAAAAACATACAGTCAGGTCCATAAATATTGGGACATTGACACAATTCTAACATTTTTGGCTCTATACACCACCACAATGGATTTGAAATGAAACGAACAAGATGTGCTTTAACTGCAGACTGTCAGCTTTAATTTGAGGGTATTTACATCCAAATCAGGTAAACGGTGTAGGAATTACAACTGTTTGCATATGTGCCTCCCACTTGTTAAGGGACCAAAAGTAATGGGACAGTAATAATCATAAATCAAACTTTCACTTTTTAATACTTGGTTGCAAATCCTTTTCAGTCAATTACAGCCTGAAGTCTGGAACGCATAGACATCAGCAGACGCTGGGTTTCATCCCTGGTGATGCTCTGCCAGGCCTCTACTGCAACTGTCTTCAGTTCCTGCTTGTTCTTGGGGCATTTTCCCTTCAGTTTTGTCTTCAGCAAGTGAAATGCATGCTCAATCGGATTCAGGTCAGGTGATTGACTTGGCCATTGCATAACATTCCACTTCTTTTACCTTAAAAAACTCTTTGGTTGCTTTTGCAGTCTGCTTTGGGTCATTGTCCATCTGCACTGTGAAGTGGCGTTCAATGAGTTGTGAAGCATTTGGCTGAATATGAGCAGATAATATTCCCGAAACACTTCACAATTCATCCGGCTGCTTTTGTCAGCAGTCACATCATCAATAAATACAAGAGAAGCAGTTCCATTGGCAGCCATACATGCCCACGCCATGACACTACCACCACCATGCTTCACTGATGAGGTGGTATGCTTAGGATCATGAGCAGTTCCTTTCCTTCTCCATACTCTTCTCTTCCCATCACTCTTGTACAAGGTGATCTCGGTCTCATCTGTCCATAGGATGTTGTTCCAGAACTGTGAAGGCTTTTTTAGATGTCGTTTGGCAACCTCTAATCTGGCCTTCCTGTTTTTAAGGCTCACCAATGGTTTCTATCTTGTGGTGAACCCTCTGTATTCACTCTGGTGAAGTCTTCTCTTGATTGTTGACTTTGACACACATACACCTACCTCCTGGAGAGTGTTCTTGATCTGGCCAATTGTTGTGAAGGGTGTTTTCTTCACCAGGGAAAGAATTCTTCGCTCATCCACCACAGTTATTTTCCGTGGTCTTCCGCGTCTTTTGGTGTTGCTGAGCTCACCGGTGCGTTCCTTCTTTTTAAGAATGTTCCAAACAGTTGTTTTGGCCACGCCTAATGTTTTTGCTATCTCTCTGATGGGTTTTGTTTTTTCAGCCTAATGATGGCTTGCTTCACTGATAGTGACAGCTCTTTGTATCTCATCTTGAGAGTTGACAGCAACAGATTCCAAATGCAAATAGCACACTTGAAATGAACTCTGAACCTTTTATCTGCTCATTGTAATTGGGATAATGAGGGAATAACACACACCTGGCCATGGAACAGCTGAGAAGCCAATTGTCCCATTACTTTTGGTCCCTTAACAAGTGGGAGGCACATATGCAAACTGTTGTCATTCCTACAACGTTCACCTGATTTGGATGTAAATACCCTCAAATTAAAGCTGACAGTCTGCAGTTAAAGCACATCTTGTTCGTTTCATTTCAAATCCATTGTGGTGGTGTATAGAGCCAAAAATGTTAGAATTGTGTCGATGTCCCAATATTTATGGACCTAACTGTAAATACCTTTTTTCCCTTTTTATAAGTGATCACATTCCCTCTGCTCTCAGCTGCATATGGGGAGGAGAATGGCTGAGCAGGGGGGGAGGTGGTGTCAAGGCAAGTCTTGTCATTGGAGGAGAGCAGGCTGGGTTTCCAGCATGGATGGAGAACTGACCACGAAAGTGACAGGGAAGCAGAGGGACTGGCAGGATCACCGGGGATCTCACACAAAGGAAGCAATACAGGGAGTAGAGGAGACGTCTTCATACCAGGACATGGGACAGCCGGCACAGATCAGGAATATCACATCGACCCCCCCCAAGCCATTTCTGACAATTTTTGTTTCCACGTAACAATCAGTATTTTTTGCTAGAAAATGTCTTTGAACCCACAGTGCGCATGCGCTGGGCCGGGACAGGTTATGTACTGACCGCGTTCCGCACATCCTCAAACATCGGAGCTAAATTAAGCAAGTGGGGCAGAGGAGGGGTCCCGGAAACAGCAGCACTAGCTGGGGGAACACCAGATGTACCAGCAGATGGTGGGAATGGTGAAAAAGAATCCCAAACAGCCGTCCCAGCAGCCCAGTCAGACCGCCAGTCCCCTCTTCTGCAGTGGACTCCTCCAACCAAGATGGTACCGGTACAGAAAGCCACAACACATGGTGGCCTGCCACCGCATCAGCAGCCTTCACCTCCACCACAGACAGCTTCTCAGGAGGACACACTTGGAGACCCAATTTCCTCACAGTCCCAGGATGAGCCACAGCAGACGTCACCAGATGAACAACGACAATTCTCTCCATATCCTGGATCACCCAGGGGGTATTGATAGCGCAGCCTCCCCAGGGTCCTCCATGGACAGATACATGGCTGAATGAACTGAACTAGTCTTGAGCCAGAATAGATCCATAGAACACCCACCCCCAGCACAACCTGCTCCATATTCAGGAGATGCAGTACTTCTAGCCAGATTCTCCACACTACTGCAGCAGGAACTCGCTAAAGCTTGTGCCATGATGACCACAGACATCAGAAGTGATTTCCAAACTATAGGAGAAGAATTGGACTCTAGAATCCAAAATGGATGGCACTGTGAAACGTGTGAACCAGAACTCTGACCTGATTTCCACGCTACAAGACCAATTAGACCAGGCTCAGGCCAAGATAGAAGACCTTGAGAAGAAATCCAGATGATATAATTTCAGGGTCAGAGGTCTTCTGAAGTCAATGGTAGACCTGGAGCCTGCCCTACATACCTTGGTGCAGGACCTAATTCCTGACATCACCCCACGTCAGCTGGAATTTGATCATTTTCACAGAGCCCTAACAGCCCCTAGATCCTACAGTTTACCCTGGGACATTATTATCAAACCACATTTCTACAGGATGAAAGAAATAATAATAATGGCAGCTAGAACCAGACTGTCAGGAATGGACTGGCCAGCAATAGTGGGACTCACCTGCCTTGTGAGCTGCAGTACCAGGGCTGGCCAGCGGGTGCTCCCAGCAATCAGAGACTCAACCTTGCAGCCAGTCAAACACCTGGAACTAATTATACTGGTGTATTTAAGGGACATTCAGACCTGCAGACTCTGCCTTGGTGTTGTGTTTTTCCTGGGCCCTGTATCTTGTTCCTGCATCCTGCTCCTGTTCCTGTCTTGTTGCTGACCCGGCTTGATTCTGACCTCTGCTGACTTCTCCTGTTCTGAT